CTGATACCCCGCGTAGCCGAAGGGAGGATCTTCCACAAAGTGGACAGCCTCTCTTTGTCGAGCCTTTCCTCCCTCGTAAGTAGGGAGCCTGAGGATATCGAGGAAGCTTCCAAACATTCACCCCACTTGCAACTGCCAGCACCTACTCGGATATTACTTTATCGCCCAGTGGCAGGGCACCCGCGGACCGCAATCTGCAAGGAACTGATCGGTGATGAAGAGATCGGGAAGGGGAGGGAGGGGAGGGAGGGGAGGGAGGGGAGGGAGGGGGAGGGGAAGGGAGGGAGGAGAGACAGAGGGTTATACCTTATGAGTCGTCTGGTAGGTCATTGCCGCAATCATGCCTCGCTCTATGTCGCCATCATTCAGGTCCATAGTCCCGGGCGGGCTGTACCAGTCGCCCCCGCACAGCCGAGTGTCAAAGTTGTAGGAGCTGCCAGGTATGATCTTCTCCATTTGCGCGTGAGAGAGTCGAGAGAAGTTAAAGTTCCTGTCGACCTTGGTGAAGTTGTCGACTACCCGGGGGTTGATCTGGTAGATCGGAAAGCCGTCCTTGTCAGTAGGAATCAATGCGTTGCACTTGAGATGAGCGTCTTTGATGCTTGTCTTTACACTCTTGTCGTCGGTTCTCTCAACTTTGAGCACACATCCGTACATGATAGAGCCTGTGAGGTTCTCGGCTCTTTGCACCGGCTCTCCTTCTTGTCGAAAGTGATTCTTGCAACATACTTGCGAACTTCGTCGACATACTTGAACTTGATAGAAGTTATCACACCGCAGCTATCGAAAAGTTTCTTGATTGGCTTCTGATAGTTGAAAAGAAGATTGAAAACCAGAACCTGATCGCAATCATTACAGCGCAGCTTGGGCTTCTCCTCTTCCTGCTTCTCCTGTTTCAACTTTGGAGGGCGTCCAGTCTGGTTATGTTCTACATCGCGTTCCTTGTGATCAGCTTCGAACCATACAGACGCCATCTGTCTTCCGATCTTGATGGAACGGCTAGAACGGGTCAGATTGAGGCTGTCGGAGTTCACAATGAAATCTATCATTCTACGGTCGGGGAACACAATCACTTCCAACGGTTGTGACGCCTTCTGGGTGGAAAGAAAAGTTTTGCTAACGAGCTCCCACACCTTCTCTACTGAGCTTTCGGGAGAAACGTCGCTGACCCTCACCCTCGTCGTTTTCTTCTTCTTCTCCTCCTCCAAAGAGAGCTTGTAATGGACATCTGGCTCGTACCACGGAACATGGACGTCTAAGACGGATCTCGGGTGTGTTTCCACCCGACAGACGATACCGTTTTGCTGTGCGACGATGGAGTTGTTCTCGGGGAAGGGAATGTAGTACTTCTTGAACTTGGCAAACATGGGATCTGGATCATCAGGAGGGTTCGGGTCATGCCCCTCCCGTCGAAACCTGACGTCTGCATGCGCTACTTCGTCCTCGTCGATGATGTTGTCGTCTGAAGAGAACGACTCCTCCACTTCCTGCTCCGTCTTGGTCTCATTCGCCATGAGCTCGCCCTCGGCAAGGTCAAAGTAGGCCTCAAGGGCAGCTACTTGCTTCGCCAGCTTCTTCTCTTCTGGGGCTTTGTCACAGTCGGAGTTTGTAGTCAGATCCTCGAGGTCCATGAACCCTTTCTCCATGTCTGTCTGGGTAGCGTTCCTGGAGTTGTCTGCTGTCTTGTCTTCATCTCTGTTCTTCTTCTCCTTCTTCTGCTTCTTTCCCGCACCAGGTCGGTGCTTGAGGCCCAGCAAGTCTTGTAGGCCAAGCATGCCCTTTGCCTTCGACCTCTGGCTCTTGTCCGCCGCCTTCTCCTTGCCTCGCCTCCCTCCTCGCCTCCCTCCTCGCAGATGAAGGACCAAGCGGGTCGTCCTCCCGTCAGACGAGACATGTCTGCATGATGACGAGAATTTGACGATGCTGGTCAACGGTTCCAAGTGACAAGCGGTCGACAGAGTGAGCACTAGGAGGGGAACAAGGCAAGTGTTTGACATGATGGAGCTCTGGAATCAGCTCACTATCCACACAAGCGAAGTAAGAATTTGTCGATTCATGCCGGTGATGGAGTCTTAATGGGATTATCGCAATGGTTTCACCGAGTCGTTTGCCCGAGTGAACTCATCGTTCCTCCTCCTCCTCCTCCTCCTCCTCCTGCATGCCTGCTGCATTCCTTTGGTCGCATTGAGTCTACCACCCTACCCCCGATACACCAATTTGGCCCAGGAAAAGGACCCCCCGCTCATCCGAGAACAGGATTCCTGCAATTGAAAATGCCCAGTAGTTGAGCGAATGGAGGAATGAAAACAAGCTGATCAAGAAGCTTTGAGGAGGAGGTGGTGGTAGTGGAGGAGGACGAGGAGGAGGAGGAGACAGGCTAGCAGTCTGCTTGACTCACCTGCTCTCTTTCATCGTTGTTCGATATCATCCGATCGATCTCGACGAACATTTTCATGCTTGGGCTACTCAGTTACGTTTGTGTTGGGTCAATGCTAGCAAGGTCTGTCGCCTTTGACAGCCTCCTGCCGCAACTTTCGTTTGCATGTTGGCACGGAAAGGGGCAGGTGGCTAGCAGCTCTCTACTCTCGTCGAGGAGGGCGGCGGTAGCTCTTTCCACTTCTGATCTCCTTCGGTCGTCGCCTATGCCGTGGAGTCATGCTGGATCTGTGATGTGCTTTGTTCCCTTATCTGAAGGACCCAAGAAGATTTCAGGCAGCAAGACGAGTAAAAAACGATTGACTGTAAGGAAGACCCGTTGTTGTTGAATTCTTATGAAGTGCTCAGAAAACTCCAACTTTCGAGCGATCTCAAGCAACCCTTCGATCGTTTCATAGCAGCGTGACATGTTCTAACATGTGATTGTGTGAAGCATAACTCCTTACAGAACGACAATGTGTCCCCAACAAACGACCCGAGTGAACCAGTCAAGTCGCTCGTTCCGGACGGTAAGAGCTTCACTTTGCAGTTGTTCGTCTACAGGCTCCATCGCTTGTTCATGCATGCCTGATTGCTCACACTCATCGCCTCAGGCTCTCATGATGCTTCTACAGCCCCGGCAACCGACGGAGGCCAAGGCCTCCCGTCCAATTGCTCGGAAACAGAAGAAACCCAACTGCCAGCAGCTCTCGATGACCTCAAGGTTTCAGAGCTCAAGGAGCTGCTGAGAGCAAGAGGCCTAGCAGGCAACCGTCCTCGACTTTTTTGTCCTCCAACCTTACAGGCAGCGGCAGTGAGTGGGAAGAAGGCAGAGCTCCTCGCTAGGCTTACTGGGCAGGAGGCCAAGGGCAGTGAAGGCAGCAAGCCCAAGAGAAGGAGAAGGCAGGGGCCGACGAGAGCGCGAGAGGAGTGAGGGAGCATGGCATGAGGCGTCGGACTCTGACGCTAGCTCGCAAGGGAGCTGTGGAGCGAAGGGTACGACAAGGTAGCTGGAGTAGACGAGGTTGGACGCGGGCCCTTGGCTGGTGAAGCAAGCTGAAGCTTCCAATGCTTCCTCCTCATGCTTCGCGTAGGCCCTGTGGTCGCTGCTGCCGTCATCCTTCCTCGGGAAGGTTCCTACAATTTCTTCTCCTTCCCTCCCTGTTCCAGCCCCTCCCCCCTCCATTTCTCCTTGCCCTGCCCTCCTTCCTCCCCCCCCCCCCTGGCTCAAATTTTGACGCTCGTGTTGCCCTATCTGTTTCCTCCCCTTCGCTCCACTTTCGCCCTTAACCTTCCTTCCTAACTCGATTCTCCTTCACCTCTCCCTCCCTTCTCTGCGGTGTGTCTCCTCCAGCTCAAGGCGAGGTAGGTGTGGATGGCGAGGCTCTCGAGTACCTGGATCAGGTCAGTCATCACAGCTCAGACTCTCCATGAGACTGCCTAGCAGCTGGACGACAGCAAGAAGCTGAGCGAGAGGCAGCGAGAGGTGGGGGCGAGCTGGGGCCGGTAGATTTTGACTGTGCTGGCAGGAAGTTTTTGAGAAGCTCACCCAAGATCCTCGCGTTGTGTGGGCTGTCGAGTTCAAGTGAGCAGAGGATTGAAGTTTGACCTTCACGTGACTCGCCCGTCAGGTCCAACAGAGACATCGATGCTGGCAACATTCTAGGTAGAATGTTTCCTGGGGTTCCGAACGAGGGTCGCTGACATGCCTGCAGCATGCGCGGAAGCAGCTATGGTCTCTTGTACCGCTGCAACCCCTCCCTCACTCCCCGCAGGTCAGCGCCGTTTCAAAGCTCTCTCAGCAGCCGTCATTCATCCTCGTCGGTACGAGTTTGACATCCTCTGTCTCATCTCATGTGGTTGTAGACGGAAATCGAGTGCCCAAGGCCTTGAAGGTACCGCGATCTGTTGCTAGGTGACGCTGAAAGCTCAAGGTACCTGCCGAGCCCATCGTCAAGGGAGATGGGTTGTGCTGCAACATCGCAGCAGGTAGAAGTTACTCTCATCGCCTCCCCTCACTCGCTTCTTTGCGTGCAGCAAGTATCATCGCCAAAGTCACTCGTGATCGCTTCATGAACGATGCCCACGAGGTCGTCCCATCGTTTGCACTCCTATCCTCAGCTCCTTTCTCACATCTCACAGAAATGGCCCGAGTACAATTTCCTCAAGAACAAAGGTCTGCCATATTGTTGATGGTGTAAGTCTCAACGAGATGAAGGGTATGGAACCCAAGAGCACATGGAGGCGATCAACAAGGTTTTCTTTCCTCAGAATACAGAAAGCTCACTGAATCTCAACAGAGCGGACCATGTCCACTACACAGACTTTCCTTTGCGCCTTTGAAACCATCCGGCTCTTGAAAAGAGGTGAGCGATGTTGGAAAGAAATCCTATGTATGTATTTTCGTTTGAAGACGACAGTACAATTTTAGCGTTAGATACAAGAATATTACAACACCGATACTGCTACACTCTTGCATGAAAAATGCGTTCTGGAATGACCAGCGAACGCGGCAGCTAACATGAGCTTCGCTGCGCGTCATTTGACGTCAAGGATTTTGACTACTTGTAAACAGCCGACAAGTATGATAAACAATCTCCCGACCTTGACTACAACACAAGTCAACGCGAACACGGAGGCTGACTGAGCTCAACCTGTCACCATGACCCCTGACCCCCTCGTCCTCTCCCCCTTCCTTCACCTGGGATGGCGACAAGTCACAACAAGGCAGAGACTTCTCTGCTTCCACGTGTACCTGAGCCGCGAGCCCCTCCACGCCCTCCACCTTCCCCTCCCCTTCCACGTCCTCTTCCTCCACGACCACCGCCACCACGTCCTTTGGCTTTCTTTGTGTTCTGTGCTTCCGTCAAGAGGAACATGCTTTACAAGAGAAAGCTGGTATACGCTGTCAGAGTCGTCATCGTCGTCGCTGAAATCGCTGTCACTTCCGTCTAGATCGGAATCAGAGTCCTAGGTGGTGACAAGCTAAGCTGAGGGCCGAACAGAGCGTCAAACACTTACTCGACTCCTTTTTCCATTCGGCATGGCTGGGACTTTTGCCGAATCAAATGATGGCAACCCTTGAGAAACTTTGAAAGGGTCAAAACTTGTGAAACAATACTCGAACGATCCATTGCCGACAGTCGATTGGGAAGAGCACACGAGATTCAAAAACCCTTGGAAGTGAAGCCTTTCAGCATTGTAACATTGCTACCTGCAGGTGAAGCGAAATCTTGCATTGGTTGCGCGTTAACCTTGGAAAGCATTGCCTGGAATTTGTCCTAGGTTAACAAATCTAGATCTAACAAACATGCAAAACACCTGAAACTTTGATGCTTGGTCCTGAGCTTGTTCTGGGGTAATCCAACCATTCATCAAAGCGTTCTCCAGTTTTTGTGCTGCCTATCAGGACATTCAAACAACACAAGTTTCTTGATGGAAAACATGACTACCTGTAGGATTTGTCTTGCATTCATTGGTCCATTATCACTCCCATCCATCGGACCTTTTCGCAACTTTGTCATTCAGAGAACGCATTCATGTACTGTAGTGACCGGGTTTTCTTGCTTGAGATGCGGAAGGATTATTCAAAGAAGACATGGAGGATAGAGTGTTAATGCTGCACACCCGTCACTCACAGGACTTGTAGACTTCAATAGCACACACCCAGATTCACCGCCTTGGCCTGGGACGCCGTTGGGACCAAGAATTCCATCCCATGCCAGCTGTGGTGAGTTGCTACCTAAGCCTCCTACTCCCATGCCCAATGAAACATTCGGTCGCTTGGCATTTGCATTGCCAACGGGGTTACCCATCGGGCCTTTGTTTGCATCAACCATGGGCACGAAGGGAGGAGCCGAAGTGTTTCCTGGCAGGTCTGTTTAGACCTCTCTTATTGAGAGCGACAAAGAAACCTAGCCGAAGCTGAGGTACGAATGATCCGAAGCCTGCCTGTGGCATTGAATTCTGAGGCATTTCTACCATAGTGCGATTAGTCGAAATCGTTTCAACTTTGTGGATAGAGATCGTACTTGATTGACTGTTCTGGTTCCAGAGCTGGGGAGAAGCATCTAAACCACCTGTAGCTCAACATCAGTCATGAACAACTTGTGAACAATTATATCAAATTCGGAACCTTGAAACCCTCCAACAAAATTATCTATTCTTGCGTGTCAGAGGCCTCTCATGAACGCTTCAAGAGCTCTCACCGTTGGGTATCCCGCCAAACCCACCCTGCGGTGCTGATGCCTGAGGCCATAAAGAGGCTGAGCCATAACCCTCCATGCCACCTGATATGAGATTCAGCATGTGATCGAAATCCGCCCCTCGCACACGACCTTGCGCGTTGCGATTCATTCGCAAGCTTGAAATATGACGGAGAGACCACAAGGAACTGTCCATGAATAGGAGAAGAAAGAAAGAGGTCAGACGACGGTAAGTCCTCAAGCGAGGAGTGTGGAATAGGCCATTGCGATGTCACAGTTCAACAAAAACAAAAACGTACGAAACGGACAGAAATGGAATGGGTAGGGACGCTGATGGAAGAATGGCAGAGGAAAACCAGAAGGACCGAGAGAGGAGGAGGAGGAGGAGGAGGAGGAGTGAACAGGGCGACACGATTGCGGCAGATGGAGGCATGGTGAAGGAGTCAGGCACTGGGGAGCTGCGACTGCATTGAGATGTGTTTTTTGGAGGGGGTATAATGCAGGGGATGCAGGGGTAGGGTAGTGTGAGGGTGGGAGCAGGTGGGGTGGGATACAACGTTGCGACGTAGGGATCAGGGAAGAAGGATAGGCCATTTTACTTATGGATGAACATATGGAATGATAAGACATGTGTTGTATGCTCCAGTCATAGTGAACCACAAACCTCCTCAGTAAAGGGGGTGGTACGTGGGGGTGCATCGTGTTCAAGGTAGGTAGGAGGATACGGGTAGTCGAAGGGCAACAGGGTGCACAAGAATTGGACTATCGGGGGTGGGTGAAAATTAGAGGGTGAACCGTGGGTGGTCTAGGGTAGTGGTGGGGTGGGTTTCATGAGTGGGGTTGGTGTCAGGGGGTGGGGTAGGAAAACGGGGAATAAAATAATAAACTGAAAACAGACCGGGATCAGTTCCGTGTGTGTAGTTGGGGTCCATAGTGGTCTTCTCGAGTCGGCAGGGTGGGTGGCAGGTGCGTCGGATGGGGCTGGGGTGGGTGGTCTGTTCAGGTGTAACAGGTCCCAGAAGTCTCAATTCATTGCGCAGGGACAACCCCAGGTGGTCGGGGGCAGGGGGGTACATGCGGATGGGTATAGGAAAGAGGATGGTAGGGGGTAGGGGGTGGTGATGCAGGGGAAGCCCGAGCCTCTTGAGTTTCGGAAGTTGAGTGACTGCCGGCGGCGGCGGTTCCGGACCCGGCGACATCCGTCGGCCCGAAGGGATTCACAGGTGTTCTGTGGAAGGAACAATTGAAAGGTTACGTAACGGAATCAACGGCTTGACACCCCTTCGACCACAAGGGCGGCATGGGAGGGAAGCAGCGGGCAGCGAGAGGAAGAGAGGACATGGTTGACTGAGTAAGGAGACAGATGGCTGAGCAGAGAGGAGAGAAGCAGAACCTGAAGAAGTTGAGAAAGTGAGAACAAGAATGGTAGTGGGTTGCATGTAGAATCAGGCATGGCGACCATTGTGAATCCGCAAGAAATCAGAAGTGGACGAGCTTCGAGGTAGTTTGAGAAGACGTGAGTATATAGAAGATTCACATGATAACGACAGTACTAGCAACAAGGCAAGTAAAGATGAAACGAGTGTTGTGCGATGCTGGGCAGCCTGAGAACGAATTAGTGCGAGCGAAATTCCTTGACAGGTCCTGAGGTTTCATATGACACTTTTTGCAACGGCAGGCTGCTTCTTGGCAACAGTTGGATGATGCATCTGGTCAGGGCAGGGTGTTAGCGAATGCAAGATTCGAAGTCTCACCACATGCGTCTTTGACATGGAGGAGAATCAAAGATGAGAAATAAGGGTGTTGAGCTGGTTGGGATCTGAAGAATTGTTTGGTTTTGTTGTGTTTTAGTTCTGACTAGCAACATGGTGGGGTTAAGACGGTACGCCTGTCTTGAATGGACCTTCCTCGTCGCAGTTTTTATTCTTATCTGTTCCTCAGCTGAAGCCGCCGCTCCTTTCTTTGACTCACAGAATCCAAAAGATTTTTTCTCAGCCTCCAATACTTTCAATGTTCAGATCAGTGTTCGTGATCCTGATCTCAGCAGCACAGCTGCTGGACAGATTCTGAATGCAAGCGTGATGTCTTACCGTGCTCGATCGGCACTTAGCTTCCCTTTCGGAGACAATGCCTTTGACGGTACCCTACAGTACTCGATTTCTCTCAACCCCCCCGCATCAAACCAATCATCCATTGTACTATCGTTGGAATTTAACAGGACAAGCCGTATGGATAATGTGCCTATGCCGTATTGGTATGTCTGCTTGGAAATTCTGGACGGGTCTCAAAGCAGTGCTGAAAGTTGTTTCAAATTTCATATTCCAGTCAAGCCCAGGAATGTGCAAAATTGTACTCTGAGAGGGAACGGCCCTCTCTACAGAAGAAATCCTATGTCAAATTCAACATGTGCCATGCACGCACTGCAGTCCTCTAGTAAGGTCGGTGTCGGCCAAAAATTTGAAGCTTTCGCCTACTTTGAAGACTTGACAAGCGACGGGACTGAGGCATGTGCGCTGTGTGATCGTTTGACAATATCAACGCGCTCGGATCCTGGATTGCCAAACAATCTTCTGCTTGACCAGACATTTGGGGGACCTGACTCTGCCCGTTGGCCCTCCATGCGGTCAAACTTGGTTGGAGTCTACTATGGTGTAGGAGCGATACAAGAAAGCTATCAATACCTGTACAGTCGGAAGATCTTGTTCCAACCAGACATCCAGCAAGTTGGGTTGAAGTACGCCATATGTCTGAATGCTACAGAGCAACACTCGCCTGGTGCCGGGACGTGGCCATCAGCATCAGCAGAACAGTGCTTCACGCTCGAGGTAGTCAAGCCGAATCTTGAACTATTCCTTGAACCCCACAGCGACATCAATCTCAACCCGAACGCTCCGCTGAAGATCACCGTACATTCAAGATGTCGCTACTCATGGAAGTTTGCAATGAAGGACAACAACGATGTTGACTTCATGTTGACTGAACCTGCGGCTGGCTACCAAAGAGGCTACTACACGCCCAATCTTTCGGTCGATCAACTGGCAACCACCCTCCCTGGTTCATCGCTCGCGCGGAAGGAAAAAATCCTCTTCTGCCAGGACTACTCGACCTTCAACTGTCCGATCCAGGACAGGTACAACAAGACGATGCAGTACTTGGATTGGACTGTTCCCGCGGGGCTGGAGGCGCAGGACTTCAATGTTTGCTTCGACATCTCGGACGAGGTTTACATGCTGGACAAGCAGCTCGTTGGCTGCATCAGCTTCCATGTTGAGAAGTGCAAGACGTGCGTGTCGCCCGCAGACACCTTGTACTCCCTCGCACTCGATTTCCAGACGGACTGGTTGCAGCTCTGGGGGGCCAACTCGATGATCAGAGACCCGATGAACATCACGGAGACGCAGGTGCTCAGCCTCGGGCCCATGCTTGAGGTCTACGCCACTCACAGTGTGGAAGTGGTGTTGAAGGTGAGGGATCATTGAGACTGCCAGGCATGACGAGGTTTGTGCAGAGGTTCCGCATGAACGAGACTTCCTTCAGGAGGCTCAACCCAGACATAGTCGGGACTGTTGTCCTCGCGGGCATGCAGATCTGCTTGGCTCCTCTCGTGTGCCTGCAGGTGCTGAAGTTCTGCTGGGGAATGGGGTCTGACTATTGCTGCAGGGAGTCTAGTCAGCGGACGGTTGACCTTGTCATGTACTTTGTAATCCACTCACTATACAGAGAGTCTGTCTCGTTGATCCGCATCATCACGGCAGCTCGCGACTTCCTTGGATCCATGCGGTCATGAGCGTCTGACCTGGCGCGAGCTTGTTCTTCTTCTGCTTGCAGCCCTTCTCCTGCTTGCTCTCTGCCTGCCGCTTCTTCCTTCTTTCCTTGTCTGTGTTCGGAGCCGCCTCCTCCTCTTCCTCCTCCTCCTCCTCTGCCGCTGGCTGCATGCTCTGCGACCTATTGTGCTCGGAGTCCTGCGTGACAGAGGAGGCGCAGACTTCGACTTCAGGCGGGGGCGTGATGACCTCCTGCACGAGGTCGCTGGCCTTGGCAAACGCAGGCTTCTCGTCCTCCTGGTCGGTTAAGTTAAATTGGTCGAGGCGACCTAGACGCTTGAGCGTAAGCCGACCCCCTCCTCCCACCCCCTTCCTCTCGTAGTAGAGGGGGTACTGGAAGCCTGTCTGCATCATCTTCATGTAGTCCAGGTCAGCACGGCGAGTGAAGTTGGGGTTGACGCAGACGTCGCAGCATCTGCTGAGGTTTCTGGTCAACATGCTCCGGTTAAAAGCTTCTCCGAAGTGCCTGAGGATCTGCAGCCTCCTGCACTCCATTCCACCTCCAAGCATCCTCGCGTTCACCACCTCCAGCTTGAAGTCCTCGTCGCTCGCTCCATCCCAGGAGTCCTCCGATGTCTCTTCTCGCATGCTCGCAAAGTAAGCTTGTCGCTTGGTCCCGAACGTCTTCGAGCCTCGGCAGAAGAACGCCATCTGCTCGAGATTATGCAGCACAGCCTGCCAGCGACATGTCAGCGCGAGAGGAGGGCAGGGCCGGTCACCTTGACTCGCTCAGGCTGCACCTCCTGGTTCTCCACAGACTTCCGCAGCAAGAAGCGATGCAAGTTCGCGTCGTCTTCCGAGAAGTACATGAGCGCTTCCGACTCGCCACCGTCCCGCCCGGCGCGACCAGTTTCTTGGTAGTAGGCCTCGAGGGACCTGTAAGGAGTGAGAAAGTGGGAGGGGCAGCAGGGGAGAGGACTTGGGCATCGACTGATGGATCACGAATCTCACGTCCTTCTTGTCGATCCCCATGCCAAAGGCAATGGTCGCGCACACGACCTGGTTGAATGGCGTCATTCATCATCAGCGCGATAGGAAGAGACCTTTGTCACTCCCTCCATCCACTCGTCTTGCACTTGCATCCTCTCTCTTGGCCGCAGCCCGGCATGATAAGCCTTCGCCTTCACTCCGATCGCCGACAGCTGCTGCGCCAGAGCGTCGCATGAAGCTTTCGTGTGGCAGTAGATGATCCCCGAGCACGCGTACTGCAGCCCAGCTGCTACTGGCTCACCACGAGGGAGGGAGTTGAGAGACTCACCGACAAAGCTCGCGATGTCTTCGAAAACTTGTTCATCTTCACCTATCAGATCCTTATACCTCACCTGAAGGGAGAACAACATTAGAACCGACCTCAGCCTTGCTACATCGTCATCACTTGGTATCGGATGTTTGGCCTGTCAAAGCTCTGCATGAAGATCTTGTCGACTTTGATCTTCAAGATGTTGACAACATCCCGACGAACTTGCTCCGTGGCTGTGGCTGTGAGCGCCAGCCAGGGGACTGAAGGAAACCTTTGATGAATCGACCCGAGCTTTCGAAAGCACGGCCGGAATTCGTGCCCCCACTCGCTGACACAATGTGCTTCGTCTATGGCAATGAGATTGATGTATCCTCCATCGTAGAGGATCGACAAATCCTGCTGAAAGTTGCTGGTGCAGAGAAGCTCGGGAGTGACATAGAGCAGCCGCATCATGGGAGGGAAGGTCAAGGGCTCCGAGTCCGGCGAGGGCTTGCCGAGCAGGTCGTTGATGACTCGCTCTCGGTCTCTCTTGGACTGGGAGGAGTAGATCGCCGATGCCAGGACCCCCTTGCTCTGAAGTGACTTCACCTGACCCAGCATGAGCGCAAGAAGAGGCGTAACAACCAGCGTGACTTTTGATTCCGCGTACACTGCTGGAAGCTGATAACACAAACTCTTCCCTGCCCCGGTCGGCATGACGGCAAACGCATCCTTGCCATCAAGAACCTCACTGATAACTCTCTTCTGATGTCCTCGCAAGCTGGTGAAGCCGAAGACCTGGTGAAGTATGCGATCGATCTTGATGTCTCGCTCAAGTATCAAGTTACTGCCATCTAAGCGCGTGAAATGCAGCAGCAGGAAGATGACGAGCACGTAAGATTGAATCCCAGCCATTGTTCAGAATGATCTGAAATGAAGCGGAGAGGAGCAGGAGAAATTCTCTGCAGATGGATGTGGATGACGAGAGACTAGAAAGGAGGAGGAGGAGGACGAGGAGGAGGACGAGGAGGACGAGGAGGAACAAGAAAATGAAGGTGAACACAGCACTTGATACTGATGTGACGCCTTGAAGCAAATCTTTCTCACTTTCTCTACTGTGCCTCTTCGTGATTCGTGAAAATAACCTCCATGTCATCTGATATATCCATTTAGATAAACATGCGGCCGGTGGTGCAGCGCCAGGTGCCAAGAAGAAGAAGAAGAAGAAAAACAAGAAAGCGAACACGAGTGGTGAGATGCTTTGGACCCTTGTATTTTGTGAGTTGATTCTCCATTCTGTCAGGGTCCGAAGAGTTGCAGGTGAAGATAGGGATAGGCGATTCGGGGAGCCTTTCACTTGTTTTGGTAGGTTCCAGCCCTATCAGACATGGACAGCAATCTTCTCAGTCAGACCATAAAGAATCTTCACGTGTCAAGTGAGACTCCAGCGCCCTAGAGATGTTTTTCCTCACCTGAGGTTGAAGGCGGCGGCGAGAAGTTACTTCCTTTCATCCCTACCAGTGACGGCAAACATGCTTTCTGGAGGTGCTTCCACTAGCCTCCCTTCCTCTTACCTTACCCTCCCTTCCTCTTCCCTTACATTCCCTTCCTCTCCTCTTACCCTCCCTTCCTCTCCCCTTACCTCCCCTTCGTCTTCCCTTTTCTTCCCTCACCTGCCCTAGTTTCCCCCTATCTTCCCTTACGTTCCATCCCCTTCCCCTAGGGGACCTCCTGCTCATCTTGTTATTCCATCCTCGTTTTTCCTCGCTCCTGATACGTGCTTCTTTTGCTTCTTTTGCGTCCTTCGCTTCTCCTATACAGCACTCAGCCCATGAGAAAGCCCGAGGAGAGACCAGAGACAGGAGGCCCAATCGAGCCTGATGACAAGGCAAAGCAAAGTGTGCGAAGAGATTTAGTGACTTCGATGCAGGACATACGGCAAGAGCCCTACAACCTTCCTGCTGGCTTCGTCTGGTGCACCTGTGACGTGTTCGATGAAACAATCATGCGAGACGTGTACACGCTCTTGAACGAGGTCACTCGCCTCGTTCATCTTTTGTCTTCTCTAAGTCCTCAGGATTCTTATTTGTTTCACCCTCTGACATGAAAGTTGCTTGCAGAACTATGTTGAAGACGATGACAACATGTTCCGGTTCGATTACTCCGTTCCCTTCCTGCGCTGGGCACTCACTCCTCCTCACTACAAGGTGCGTATACCTACTGGCTATGCGCGCGTTTCCTCATACAACTACCAATCCTTCATGCTTATCTTCCTTGTCCCATCAGTCCACCTGCTCTTCATGACACCCGACCGCCTTGCTTTCCCGCATCTGTCTCTGCTAACTTCGTGTGAAGGCTGAGTGGCATGTTGGTGTCCGCACAGAAAAGTCTGGAAAGCTTGTGGGGTTTATTACAGGTTTCGATTTGAATTTTATGTTTGTTCGTGATGGTCGATGAAGGCATACCCGCCACAATGAGGGCATGGGACCAGGTAAGAGCAAGAGAGGACGATGAATCCGATCTTGATAACTCGAATTCTCTTCTCTTCAGCCATTCTCGTCGGTGGAGATCAACTTTCTTTGTGTACACAAGAAGCTTCGCTCGAAGCGCCTCGCACCCGTCCTGATCAAGGAGGTCAATGTGGCTGTATCACAGGCTGGCTTGTCTCACATTCAACGCCAGGTGACTCGGAGGGTCAACTGTGCTGGAATTTTCCAGGCAGTCTACACAGCTGGAGCTGTGCTGCCCACTCCGGTTGCGAGCTGTCGGTACGACGACCTGTAAGAGGCTGCAGGAGGGAGTGACGAGCGTCTAGATACTGGCATCGATCTCTTAACCCGAAGAAACTCATTGAGGTTCCCGCGCCTCCTGAGCTTCATGGGTTGGTGTCGGGTGAAGGCTGAAGCTGTCGGATAGGTTGGCTTCTCCCGGCTGCAACCTCGGATGACGATGGCAAGAACACTGAAGCTTTACAAACTCCCCGAAGAGATTCAACTCCAAGGTGAAGCACTCAATGCTGTAGCAAGGATGGTGATTCAGGGGTGCAGGTCTCAGACCCATCCAGAAGCAAGACGTCCCTAGCGTCTGTCGGCTACTCACGGCGCATCTCAACAAGTTCAAGGTCTAGAGCCCATCTATGCACAACAAGATCGTGACGAGGATACTGCAGCTTGCCAGTCTCTTCACTGAGGCGGAGGTGGAGCACTGGTTCTTGACCCAGGAGGGAGTTGTCTACTGTTACGTCAAAGAAGATCCAGCTACCCGAGGTTGGAACCTGTTGCTGTCTGCGCTCCCTAGGGGTTCCTCTGAAATAGGTTTGATTCTCTCAGAGATCTCGGACATGCTGAGCTTCTACGTGCTACCTTCTACCATCATCGGAAACAAGCAGGTGAAGCTCTGCTGTGATCGCCGCTTCATCACTCGCAGCCTCCCCTACAGTATCCGACGCTGAAGGCGGCTTATTCTTTCTACAACGTCGCGACTTCAGTTCCTTTTGTGCAGGTCTGGTTGAGCTTCCATTGTCGACTCATCTAACGGGATGGCAGTTGATGTCGGAAGCTCTCATCATCGCCAAGCAGCTTGACTTTGATGTGTTCAACGCCTTGAACATCCTCGACAACGACGAGGAGATTCTCAAGGAGGTTGACTCATCCTGACTTGTCTGCGTCTGACTGTCTCTCCTCAGCTCAAGTTCGGAATCGGCGATGGCCGCCTGCAGTATTATCTCTATAACTGGCGCTGCAAGGTACTCTACGGCTACTCCAGGTCTTGCGACTGACATGGCTCGAAGGACATGCAGCCGTCTGATGTTGGTCTGGTTCTCTTGTGACCTTGTGCTCTTTGTTCCCCTCCCATCCCTCGCGCTCCTGTGCCAACCAGCCACTTGCTGCCTCTGAGGGTTCAAATCTTTACTCGGGAAAGGTATAAACGAAAACTTACATCCAAACAAACTGGTGGGAGTGAGCAAGGTGCATTACGGTAGATCAGCTCAAACGCTCTCAAGCAGCGGTCGTATCATCCAGAACTTTCATCCCTGATAAGCGCAAGCGCGTACATCCTGCCCAGCCGTTGCTAACGGCCAAGTGATAAACGGAATCCTGTAGTCAACGTCAGGGGCCACACAAGAAATTTAAGCGCCGTCAGACCTCAGAGACAGGAAGATCTTCGAATGCTTGACAAATCTACCATTTGGTCAGCACAGCAAGCACTGGACATGTGGCAAACCTCTTCGCCATCCAGCAAGTAAGTAAGCGAAGCTTTCTCGCAGTCACAGAGTAGTCCGATTCTCTGTCACGGAAATCGGTCAGAGCTTTGCAATCTATTAAAAACACTAGAATGACTTCTCACCTGCCCCGCTGTGAAAGCTGGGAGCTGATCTGATACTGAACCTTTGATGTACGAAGGATGAAACTTTCCAGTAGTGCCACCCCATATTCCCCATCCGACAGCAGACAAGGACAGGTTCAAGTCAGGTATCTCTTCCTCTTTCGCTGACTTCGGCAACTGAACAAGCCCTACCCAGCTTCCACGACCAGTTTCTTCGCAGTCAAGCTCCCATAGAACCTTTTTCCCGACACAAAGATGGCTTTTACCACCAATACCACAACCCTCTTTAGATATCATTGTTCCTGAACCAGATATGACGGCTGTACCGTCCTCAAGCAGTGTCACGTTCTTTCCAGCAGTCAATGCGTCCCAAAAATTGGCCGCAAAGGCGCTCGTGACATCGCTGCCTCCCCTCTACTGTAAATGAAAATCAGGAACTCTTATCATGAACTTTCAGAAGGACCTCGGCGATGAATTTGGCAATCTTGCTTGCCAAATCGTGCTTGTCCCCCACTCCATCAAACTCATGAGTGATGCCCTTTCGCTAGAAGTGAACGAAACAAACTCACAGGTCGTGTACACACCTTGTAATATCCCTTGATCGCATCGACATTCTTCTTGTATTGTTCAATACGCTTTACCATGGCCTCTTCAGTGTCGTCGGACCTGTGCACTAGCCATCACCTTCCTTGTGCTCGCTAGCACAGTCCTCACCGGTGAACAAGGCGAGCCAAGACCTCGGGGTCATTGGGAGGAGGGTTGAATTTCATGTGATAGATCTTTCCAGTGACAGGATCAGTCCTCCTGCCGACACATCTTGAAGCGGGAGTGTGAGTCCAGTTACTTTCCACCACATCCTTTCACCTCTCGATCAGGACGTTGTCTGGCACGTTGAGCAACACGAACTTGTCGGCCTTGATCCCCGCCTTCTCCATAGCATCAGCCTGCACTCCTGACATACATGTCGGTCAGCCCCGCCAACAACAAACGGAGCTTCACCAGTGCGGGGAAAACCATCAAGAAGCCATCCCTTGTCCTTGCAATCTTGCTCAGCAAGCCTGTCCTTGACAATGCCGATAATCACGTCATCGGGAACCAGAGCTCCTTTGTCCATGAATCCCTTCGCCATCTTTCCCAGCTCGGTTCCAGCTTGCACTTGAGCACGGAGAGCATCCCCCGTAGAGATGTGCACAACTCCGAACTTCTCGACGATGTATTCGCACTGGGTTCCTTTGCCCGACGCTGGGGCACCAGAGATGATGATCCTTGGTGCAGCCATGGCCAAAGTGCTCGAACTGCCTCCCCTCAGACGAAGACTCTTGGATGAGCATGAATCTGGGAACTTGGACTGATCCTGCAATCACGTCCAATCACAAACATTCCATCCCGAAGGCAATAGGAAAAAGGGGGTCGCAAGGAGGCTGGAGGGCTGAGAGCGAGACGGGAGGGGCTTGCGGGCGGGGAAGGAGGAGGCACCTTTCGTAGTTCAAGTATGTTGCTCAAGCTTGTCGATCCTACGCTGATGAAGCCTGAGGCCATCGCGATCGACGCCATAAACAGCGCTAGGGTTAGCGCCATTGTACCGCCTCTCCTCTGCCTGCACGAAGGGGGTACAGGTATTTTTGTAGGTTTCATTGACTCCACGGGTGGCTTTCATAAAAAGGGAAAACAGGGGGTACACATAGAGAAGGGTGACTACCCCTACCCCTGCCCCTACCCACACTGTACGGATCTCACTTGCTGTCCGACTCGGCGTTGCTTTTGATACCCCGTCACGTAGGCCTCCCAACAACCCCCTTCGATCACCCCACTAAGAGAGGTAAATAGTGGGGGTACTCCTCTGGTTCGTGTAGTCGAAGAGGACAGCACCGACACTAGGGTGGGTAGTCCAATAAGGGGTGGGTACTGGTAGTACTGGTCCTGTACAGAAGCCTCCATAGGAATAGGGTTCTTATTGTTTGATGCCTGGGTGGGGTAAGGAGGATAGGGTAGGGTGGGGTTCGCTTGCTAGGAATTCGGGCCCGCCTCCCTACTTTGAAGTTGGCGGGAATGGTAGGACGATGGAAACCGAGGCGAGTTGGAGGTGAGGCAGAGAGGGGAAGAGAGAGGGCGAGATGAGTAGAGAACAGAATAGCAGAGGACAGCAGACAAGGATTGCACACCATGAGCTGAGAGAGTGAAGAAGAGCCACAGAGTGCTGGTGCGTTGTGTGAAACGCGAGATCGTGGCATTGCCTTGCAAACTGATCTGCTCCGGGCAAACTGAGTAAGAGATTGAAGGTACCTATCCTTGACGGCAGATAAACTTCATCATTGCAAGACTTCAAGAGAAGTTCAGAGTGAGAGTCCAACATACGACGAGATGATGCGGAACGAAGAAAGACCGCTCCTGTCGTTGTGGACACTGCTTCAGTTCTTATTTCTTCTGATTGTCTTCTCGATCATCACAAGCGCTATTCTCTTGGTCCCCAAAGTGTGCGAAGAGGAACTCTCGAAGATGATGCACTCTGCACACAATGATGAGTGGGAGCAAACGCAGCAATGCATGATGAAGGTGGTACAGGACATGAAAAGAAAGACAGATTCGACTTTGGACATCCTTTTTATTAATGTGAAGCATGCATCGCTCTTTTGGAATCACGTTGTCTTTCTTATTGACTTGATGTGTGTTCACATATTCTTGCTGGTCGCCGTGGCTTGCAAGACGTACTTCAGCGCATTCCAACTTGTTTCATCATCGCTCGCTCTTGTGACCAGCAAACTATCCGAACAAAATTATCGTGGGCTCATGGAAGGCATTAAGGTGCTTATGATTAGAATAGGGTGGATCGTGCACAACCTTGGAGCTCTGATCAGAGCTACGTTTGAATGTGCTGTCACAGATGAATGCATACTCACGCACAGCAGCGACTCTCAAGATATGCCTGAGCTGGTTGCGTTGGTGCAAAGACATCTTCCTACCTTTCGAGAGACGATACATGACTTTTGGACTCTAAGTATGGACAACTCAACCGCCACAGTTGCTTTCAAGCTCGTCACTGGGATGTACCTCACTTACATAACTGTTCGTCTGATCAAGAGATTGTGTGTGTTGTGTTTTTGTTTTTCCTGCAATGTGCTGTTCGTGATGATCGGCATGCAGCCACCTTTCTTAAAACGGGATACTGTAGAAGAGCGTCTGGATGAATCGCTGGATATTTCGAACATCTCAGGCAACAGTGAAAGTGTAGAGGGAGCGAATGGGGAGGAAGACGGGGAGAAGGGAGAACAGAACGGAGATGAACAAGAGGAAAACATGCTTGAGGAGACGAAGAAAGACATGGAGACCCAAACATGTGAAAGTTCGGATGTCGATCTTCCTGTTGACTGGCATGTCGACAAACTTGACAAAGACGCTGTTGAACCTGGTGGGAATGAGGAAGCAAGAGGGGGGGAGAGAGCTTCGGCGTGTCGACTCTCTTGCAACGGGTCGGGGACAGCGGATTATGAGATAGAGGCGTGTGACGATCGACGTTCTAAGTGCGTCGCGCTCGAGGTCATGGGCTCGTACTTGCAACAGGGAAGGGACGCGGCGGTTGGGAGGAAGCGCGTGTATGATAAGGAGGAGCGAAAGGTTCTTCACTGTTCACTTGTGATACGCTCAGAATGACTCACTCTGCTCTCAGGAAGCTGAGAAGGACGCGAGAACAGCTGGGCTCGTGGTGCTCTTGCTGCTCGCCCTGTCCTCTCTCTCCATCATCGCCCTCTTACTCGTCGCTCTCACCCGCGAGCTCATGACCGCAGGCAGGCACAGGTTGTCGGGCTTGGCTTAGGAGGGAGACTCGCGCTCAGCTCTATCTCGTCACGCTCCTCGGCAGGGGCTTGAGGGGAAGACGGGCGGTGGCGCCAGGAAGGTATGCTCTCTGAGGAGAAGGAACAGCAGGCGAGCTGAACAGGAGCATGTGCTCCCCCTCGTCCTGCCGCAGCTCCAGCGCTGAGCCTCCTCTGCGAGAGACCCTCTCTTCCTCGTCGTGCATGCTTCTGTAGTCTAGTGATATCCCTTCAATCTGGTGGAAGGAAAGCTTTCCGTCGGATTCCAGCATCTCAACCTCCTTCGCCTCGAGGGCTTCGAGCTCATCCCCTACTCGCCTCGTCCCCGAAGACATCCTCATCTCCTGAGAACCTGCCCTCTCCTCCTCCTCCGCGCCCTCCCAAGGACTCTCTCTCCTGTACAGCTTCAAAATCTCTCCGCTCCTCTTCCGCTGCCTCTCAGAGCCCATGAGGCGACGGAGGGAGGTCAACGGCTCCTCCGTTCCGCCTGTCCGATGCTCCACAAGTTCTCGTTGCGAGCGGCTGAGCTGTCCCTCCAGCTGAAGCACTAGACTAGCCAGCAGCAGGGGCAGGTGGCGATCGACCTCCTTGCTGGCGCACTTGTACAAGACTAGAGCAACGAGCAACGAGAGCAGAAGAACACACACGGCTGCATGCACGTGCTGAAAGAGGAGGGACAACCCCTGCGACCCAGTGCCCGAAGCCTCTCGTGGCTGCAGCTTGCTCGTTCCTGTCTGAGAGACTTTCAGAGGCAGATCAGGACGGAGGGATTGGGGAGGGGAGGAGGAAAGGTGAGGGAGGAGCAGGCAGAGGAAGCAGGGAGGGGGAGGGAGGAGGAGAGGAGGTGAAAGATCCTACCCATAGGAGCGAGATCAATCCGGTATCAAGACGGGCAGAGGCGAAGTCGTTGTCAAGGATCAGACCTTTCTGATTCAGTAATGCTGCCACTGCAAAGGAAACGGAGGCCATGGAGTAGAGCAGAGCGAGTGCCATCAGGTCCTCCGCGACGAGCCGGTAGATCGTCCATAGCAGATGCATGACCGGGCGGCAGGGGACAAGCGAGTTGAGGAAGACAAAGAGAGCAAAGACTGAAGCCAAGGCCCAGCAGTCGAGCTCCCTCGCCGGCATCTGCGTCAGGCGGAAGGCGAAAGCGAGGTAGACGCAGCAGAGGAGCGCAAAGTGGAGGAGGAGCTGAAAAGTGTCGAAGAGCGCGATGAGGTGCCGCCCAAGCTTTCCGAACCGAAACATGATGAAGTTGTAGATCCTCAGGGGACACCAGCAGAGCACAAGACAGTGAAGAATCACCGACGTGTAGCGACCTGCGTCGTCTCTCCCCTTCACCTTGATGAAGTTGTCCCAGTACTGCGACCAGGTCTGCACTCCTATCCCTGATTCCAGGGCGGGCGAGGTGACGACGGTGCCAACACGAAGAACGATGAGGGAGACGAGGGAGGCGAGGAAGGCGAGGTGCGGCAAGAGCATGGTGGTGATGTATCGCCTCCTCCCAAACTTCTGCCACTTGTCAGTGATGACGAAATCCAAGAGCTCATGCTGGGCCAATGTGGAATGTTCCAGCTCCACAGCAAGCTCAACGGCACTCTTCCACCTCGGGTGCGAATGGCAACGAGACGAGGAGGAAAGAAAAGTGTCAATCTGCTCCAGGGAAGTTGCGAAGCTGGGCGAGAGGTCCGAGCAGATCTGACGGGAAGTGAAGCACTGCGAGGCGAGCAAGTCAAACATGCCCCCGTTGTTGGTCGCCACCGAGAGGGTCAAGGGAGTGAGACCCTCCAGGTTGCAAACGCTTAACGAGGATGCGGCCCCATGCCGGAGCAGCCAATGAACAGCCTCCAGCTGGTTGTGGAGAACCGCCTTATGCAGAGCCGTGTCTCCAAGACCGTCCTGCATGTTGATGATGAAGTCTCCATCAAAGGTCATCAGCGGTGAGCGCAAGGCTGCACAGATCTTCTCCTGCTTCGACCTGATCCTCGCCTTCTCTTGCCTCGACAAAGAGCGAAAGTGCTCGAGGATCTTGTCGCAGACTGCAACGTTATTTGTAGCAGCAGCAAGACTGAGAGGATACTCTCCCAAGTCATAAGCTGACCACCTGTTGCTCCTGCGCGCGGAAGCGCAGCTCCTCCTGTCCTTGCCCATGAGGAGGTCGACCACCTTGTCTGTGAGAGAGAGGGTCGGAAGAGGGCGCGAAAGCCCATCCACAGGAGACACGAGCGACGACACGTGGGCAGCACGAAAGTGACTGCCGATGACTCGAGCAGAGATGTCAGCCTTCCTTTGCAGAAGAACTTCTACTGCCTCTGTTTCACGACGGAGGATCGCAAGATGCAGCAAAGTGCAGCCTGTCAAGAGACCACCATCATCCTCCAGCTCGACGTGCCGAACATCTTGAAGGTCTGAACCGCAGGGATCGTTGACGACATCGTCGTCTGCATCTAGATCGCTGAGCAGCTTCATTCCGATTTCAGGCCGAGTTGACATGATGACTCGATGTATCAGCGAGTCTCCGGTCGGAAGCCTCTTTTTCCTCTTTGCCAAGCTCAACACTCGCTGCCACCCTTGTGGTGCAACATCACCTCCAGGACTTGCAACGTGAAGTTGAGAAAAGACATCCGAACCAAGATCAAGTTCGAGCATGGACAAGTTGAACTGGCGTACCACACCCAACCTTTCGCCTGCCTTTCCTTCGCCTTGTAGAGATGTGTTCAACAAACTCTCAAGGTGAGACCTAGAGCGATCCTCAGCTTCCAACCCCTCATTTAATGTAATTCCTTTCATTCTTGAATGAGCGACTGAGTTGAATGCACTTCCGTTTGAAGTCATTCACAGCCTTCTGACAAGATCGTACCTCTCAGTCTGCTTTCAGGTGTACTATGATCTCAGTACGACTTCAATCACTTTCTAGTATACTTTCCTTCTCCTCTCCTTGCCTCGCTTCACCTCGCCCGGCCTCTTCGCAGTCAACTGCACTGTTCGCTCTCGTCAAATTCAACTGCCATCATCTGCATTGAATATAAACGGACAGTCCGGGCAATCAGGCAGCAGGCACTGTGACACGGGCCGGGCTGAGTTCCGGGTGCCGCGGCGGCGGCCGCGGGCCGGGCCCGGCAATTCGAGTCATGCCGCACTGCAGTGCCGGGCCACACAGTCTGGCGGACTCCGGTCGGCCCGGAATCGGCCGCCGGCGGCACCGGGTCACTCTCCGACCGCGGCGATCCGGGCCCCGATGATCGGGGCGGCCCCGCTCAGAGGGCCTGCCGGTCCGGCGGTCTCATGCCGGGCGGCGGCGAGGCCGCGCGGCTGGCAGCCCCGCGTTGACCGATCGGACAGTCACGGCCTGTCACGGTGTGAAGCCGTGACGGTGACTGATTGCCTACAGCCGCCGTGACTGAGCCCACAGCACTGAGCCAGTGACCGTCTGTGACTACCCGGGCCGGCGGCGAGACCGAGTCAGCCTGGGCAGGGGTGATTCAGGCTTGGACCGCCGGTCTATTGAAGCCATCGTCGTCACTAGTTACTAGTAGTAGAATATGAGTGAGGTCCAATCATCACTCTTCGTTAACACTGAACAAGTGAGCGATTCTTCGGAAGTTTATCCTCTCCGTCGAAGCCACTTTGTTTTATATGTAAGTCCTAACCTTTCCCACTCGAACTGAGAAGAACACGCAATACGCATAAACGTTCTGGTTCTCAACTCCCTGTCTACTTCTTTCCAGCAAGAGTTAAAGAGAGCCAATCAAGTCCTTCGGTCAGACCCTCCCCTTTGGTGGCGGATGTCTGCGACAGGAGATCAAACGGCGACAGTCAAGCAAGGACAGGTACCTGAAAGATGGACCATTCACGGTTCTTAATCCCCGCCAACCCCAAAGCTTCGCTGATCTGATGAGACGTGAGGCCCAACAGATTCAGTTGTCAGAATGACCTGAGCTGCACTCATTGCACCAGGAAGGTCCTGCTTGTTTGCGAAGACACACAAAGCTGCATCCTGATATGATGAATATATGATAAGCGCTACAAAACAAGAATAGAAGATAAATGTGTGGCGATAGCTTTACCTTCAACTCATCTTCATCCAGCATTGCTAGAAGTTCGTCTTTACAAATATTGATTCGCTCTTGATCAGCACTGGAACGGATCGAAGGGTAAAGGGCACAGACACAACGAAAGAAAGATAAACGACCTGTCAACAACGTAGATAATCGCATTTGTGTTTGGATAATAGCATCTCCAGTATGGACGAATACTTGATTGTCCACCTGGAAACGATTTCGCAAGAAATTCGAAAATGTCATGATCCTCAAATTCATCAAACAATTTGGGATCTCAGACCTAAATCCCATACTTGGAATTTGATATTCTTGTAAGTCACAGTCTCCACATTAAATCCAATCGCTGAGTTAAAAAAAGATGATCACAACAAGACTCTTTCACGATGTTATAATTACTTGGAATTGTAGTCACCACTTCCCCTTGATGCCTGTTTTAGTGCAAACGAACTGAGAACAATTTCTATCAGAACGAAAGCACTTACAATCTGTAGAGAATGGTAGTTTTGCCAGCATTGTCAAGTCCAAGAATCAGGATGCGGACTTCTTTGTTGCCGAGTATCCGACCAAAAATCTTCGACAAGAATATTCCCATTATTGGCGACGATGGACTTTAGTCAATTGATTCTGCTTCTGAGCTACTCTTTGCACTGATTCACGGAGCTTGAATTTCCGGGAAAGTTGACTGCTACTTCACGAATCTCACACTTTGCGTCTGATTTCTTGTCTGGCATAAACTATTCGGTAGCAAGCATGCAAATGGATCAACTGCGATCAGAAAGCAATGAGTCAGATCCCCAAGAAAAAAACATTATAACAGGGTTTAGGTTACTGAAACGAGAAGAGTTATAAATCAATCATTTGATCTATGCCACATTGTTGTAAAAATCTCCGTCGTCTTGGGATTAATGATTTTGCCATTCTTTCAGAAGTAATTTTCATGGGCTGCGAATGTGGTGTCTGCAAGGAAACGAGTATTTGCCCTTAGATAAACCCCAGCCTCACTATTCTAAATATAGTTTTGCTAATTGTCTCAGCTTCTTCTTCTCAGTGTTGATGAGAACTTCTATTCTAAATCGGAGATCCCATTTGCTTTCCAACCAAGTAGTGACATTTTTGTTATTCTATGCTTCCCGTGCTTTTAACATTGACTTTGACCTGAGTGCTGATACTCTCTAAGTGAGATCATAGCAGCTGGACGTTTGAGGGTTTCCTTCACTTGCTCCTCCGTCTTTCCCGTCTCCTCATCCTCCTTCCTCGCTCCCTGTCGCGCCATCGCATCCGCAGAACTCTCCAGATCACCAACCCTACCCACCCCTCTATCACACCCCATCAGGCCTTCGATTTATATAATAACCCCCTCAGATTATTGTGGACCCCCGAATGATTCGCCCGCCCCACCCTTGTCGCAGACCTCCTCCCACCACTACCCGCATTAGACTACCCGCATCTAACAATCATCCCTGGATCGTCCCCCATGATTGAAGTGCATCTGGAAAAATAGACCCCTACCCCACTAATGACAAAATGACCCCTACCTCGACAAACATCCATAACAAATATACCCTACCCGCCTTTGGTCAACAACCCCACCCGGACCCCACCATTGGAAGTCCCCTACACTTCACTTCATCACCCACCCCACCCACCCAAACCAAGGCATATCCACCCCTGTAGCTTTGACTACCCCTTCGTCCACTGCTACCTCTGATCCCGTCGCGCCATCTAGCGATAACCGCTACTACCCCTACCCCCACAAGGTATGTCAAACATACCCCCTATGCTAACACATTCTTGCATGGATGCAAGCTCACCTCGGCGAGAGTTTACAGAAAATGGTGAGGAAAAGGAAGAGACGGCTTGAGGAAGAAGCGGAAGAAGAGGTAGAAGACAAGGGTCCGAGTACGCGTACAGCGAGAACTATCCGTCTCACTAGTCATGAGAACCACAGATCGCATTCACAATTGACCATCTTTGAGAACGTGGGAAGTTGTGGGTAAGTGCCTCTCCCCGGCAGTCCCTTCCACGAAGGTTTGTTGATACCATGCTAGTCCAGCCGGGAGAGTCTGGGATGCTGCCATCATTCTATCTGAATACATTCTCAATCATTTTGGCGAACATGGGATGAAAGGAATGCGGGTGATTGAACTTGGATCAGGTTTGTCGATGCATTTTCTCGATTCGGAGGTGGCGAGGGGAGGGCGATGCGGGGGCTGGTGAGTTTATTTCTGTCGTTTCAAGGTACCGGTTTGGTCGGAATCCTTTGCGCAAAGCTGGGGGCGAGTGTCGTTCTGACAGATAAATGTTTCGCTTTGCCTCTCATGCAAGCAAACGCAATGGAGAATGCTGCAGATTCTGTGAGAGTCTCAAATGCCTCTGTGCGCCCTGACGTGTCATAGATGGCTCGGGGTGACATAACAGTTCAGGAATTGTTGTGGGGGCAGAAACTGTCCAAGAGCCTTTTGCGAGATAGAATGAATTTGATTGGTGAAAGTTGATTTCTTCCATTACGCTGTTACAATCTTTGTGATTTCTACAGTTGCAAGTGACGTGGTGGGATGTGGAGATGAGGCGCTTTTCCCTCCCTTGCTGAAAACTCTACGACAGCTTTGCAGTCCGGAGACAACTATTCTCATGGCGTACAAGCCGAGGGCTAGATTCGAACGGATGTTCTTCGACAGTGTTCTGGAGAGCTTTTGTGTTTCGAGGGTATGGAACAGATTGTTGCCTAGTGACTGCTACACGGAAACGTTTTCAGCACCTGTTGATGTTTTCGAGATTCGATTACGAACTGAAAAAAGTTCAAGAGAAGGTCAGCCTCTTCCTTGCTCTGCTGCGGTATGATGATTCTCGGATTAGAAGGAGCAAACTTCGATTTCAGAACTTCGTATCCAGATGCCATCTTCGAAGAATGATCTTTGTGCCGAAATTTGAAGTTGCCGTTTCCAAATAATGTGATTGCGATCTGGAGTCTTCAGCCAGCCCCTGATTGCAAGACAGCAACACTTGACGTGGATGAAATCGAAGCTTTGTTAAGTCTTGGTGAAAAACAAATGCGAGAAGGCACAGGAGCATATGAAGTAACGACGTTGCTTTATGCCCCGTATACACAGTATTGAACCCTCCAATTATACTTACGAGCGTTGTAAAATTTGTATTTTCCTCCTGTCCAAATATACAAGCTGAAGAGAGTTATCAATGACGATTGAACATATCTTTGAAATACCTTATCTTGCCGTCTTCTGATGCGGCTGACCACGCTCCACCTCCTGCTGTCTTATCTACCGGGTGATCACCCCTCAGATTGGTGATGACGTAGTGGACTTTCTTGAAGCCACAAACCCCGATGTCCACTTCCTTGGAAATGAATTGAGACCCTGCTGGTTTCCAACCAGACGGACTTAAATATGTTCTTCAGCCGTCTAATCCAACAAAACGCAAAATACCTGGACACATCACAGCATATTTGACCGTTATTCGTGTACACTCCTTGGTCGCCATCTCCTTTCAAAAGCCTTGGGGCAGTGCCTTCGGATTGTTCAGATAAACGCACCCCTTTCATAAATGAAATCACATGGAAATCCAGCCCCGGCATCTTTCATCTCGTCTTCATCCATTTCTTTCACTCCGCACCAGTTTATCTGCCAATTGTTGGCTCTGGCGTTTGAAGCTCGGAATAGTGGAGCTCCTGGCATACTATGGAGGTAAACTCTGAATTTTGAGTTGGTGCTTGAATAGATTGCTTGTGCGCCCACGGCCTGTGATTGAATATCACAAGCAAATATTAAAAGACTATTCAATCAAAACCTCGACAGCACATTTGCCATAACCTCTCAATTCATTGCCACACGACGTGTCAGTGAGAGATGTAAAATAAGACGGATTTCCTCCCTTCCAGCCACAGCTAAATCATGGAGTCGTCAGAATGCCCTACATCGGACGACAAAGATTGACAACCAAATATAGAACACTTACCCGCTTGTGTCAACATCTGCGATAATGCTCTGCGAGTCGATATTGGTGAACTGGCCTGCTTTCGAACTCCCGCAACACACGCTGTATGTGATTGGCTTTTTATGCGCCTTTGGAAAGCCATAGCCGCACCATCTTGTTGAGACATTGCACCGTCAGTGCTATCTAGATGAAGACAAGATTGCCTACCGAAGCTCCCACTTGTTCCCCCTGATCGTTGAATCGTCGATAGGTATGATAGTGTTTATGTAGACTCGGAATCGAGCAGGATTCACAAAATCCTCCTTTGCATTGACGATATTCATGTGGGAATATGATTCGTAATGATACCCAGTTCCTGTTGAGTATTCACTTCATGTTGCTCATATTGACAGACATCTTTTTAAATTCACCATGCAAAGTCGTGAAGAACTGTGGTTGACCCTGAAAGTCACACTTGCTCACATCGACATCGACGTAGTGCTCTCTGTTTGAAGCACCTGAGGAAGATGTTCGAGTCAAAATAATATTCTATCGCAGGAACGATTGCATACCCCTTTGAAATGCAGTTGTCGATCCACAGCACAAGTCTTTTCCAAGGGTCGATTCAATTCCGCACAAACTTTTGCCATTTCGTCCAGGGGGGCCGGGGGGCCCGGGGGGGCCGTTCTTACCAGTCTGCCCTTGTTGGCCTTGAGGACCTTTGGGGCCTCTCAATCCCTGTACGGTGCTTCAGTTACAGGTGCTCAGCGATGTGAGCAAGTCGTCAGACCTCGGTCCCGTCGCTCCCTGGAGGTCCAGGTGGACCAGGTGGACCAGCCGGGCCTCTATCGCCACCATCACTTGTTCTTGAGCCTGTTAAAACCTATCTTGAGTCGAAAGCAAGCAGGGTGGTGTAACTTGTCAACCTTCCTCCCCAGGAGCACCTGGCTTGCCCGGTACACCTGGATCACCACTCTTTCCTAGATCTCCTTCTGGACCACGTTCGCCTTCTCTTCCCATCCGGCCAGGGAGGCCAGGAGGTCCTCGTTCTCCCTTGCAAGTGCATGAGTGTGAGATCATCGTGATCCTTTCCCATGATCATTTACCTGCTCGCCAGTTGGTCCATGCGGTCCCTTGTCTCCATCCACTCCTTTTGGACCCTTGATCCCCTCAATACCCGGCTTGCCTCGGTCTCCTCTTTCCCCTGTATATCCTCGTGGCCCTCGTGGTCCCTTGAGATTCGAAGGTCAGGACCGTCCTTTCTGCTGGCACACGTCACCGGAAAGCCTTTTGGCCCAGGGTATCCCATGGGACCGGGGGATCCTCGAACCCCAATCTGTCCAGCCTGCGAGCTCACCATCACACGCACACACGCATATGAATGGCAGGCTCGGATCAAAGATAGCAAACCTGTATATCGATGCGAACACGCCTGTGTTTTTTGGCCTCTTTTTCAATTTTCTTGAGTGTTATCATCTCTTTTGATAACATTTTGGATACACTCATAGCCTTGAAATGTATTTCAGTACTTGCAATCAGCGTAGCCCATGTTGAATACCATGTCTTCCGGCGTTCCGGAGTCCATCGACAAATATTCTTGATCCCCAACCTGGTATAGTGAGAGCTTGTCCGAATTGCTGTGTAATGTACTCGGTTGAGAAACCTTCGGAGTGGTTAAAAATTATGCCGGAGCCGGGACAAACGATTTGAAAGTACCTTCAATGAGATCAAGAATACGCTGCTAGCCAACATCAACAAAAGACTTGCTGATATCCATCGCGTTCTTGACTCGCTTCTGTTGGGAAGAAGTGCACCTTTTCGTCCCATGACATGTCATATCCTCTCAGACAATACAACGAGCAATATCATGCAAATAGCTGTTCACAACATCTTGTTCTAACAGAGCAAAGCGATTGACCTTGTAACTTCGCTCACCTGCCATCAGCGGCTTCTCCTCTCCCGCAGTGGCCATAAAAGGCAAATGACTCTTCGCTCGATGGGAATCGAGTAAAAACATTCTTGTATACAAGTAGCGGTAGCTACATGACGTACCTGCAATGTTTTACAATACTTATAATACATAATGTAATATGGTACAAATTTATATCACTATTGGCAGGCTGGTACTGGAATTTTAATACGATGCGGAATCGCGGGGCACTGGCCCAGTGGGCCGTACAGGAGATGATTCAAGTTTTAACTTAATTTTGAGTAAAGCCTTGGAATTTTAATCAGCCAGTCATTCAGAGTCTGGCCCGGACGTCCGAATCACATTGAATGACTCAGTGAACCATGAAGTTGCGGCCCCGCCGACTCTCCGCCGACGCCTGAGGCTCAGCTCACTCAAGTGCCCGGCCGTCGCCACTTCACAGTACCGGCCCGGTAAGCTCGCCGCATATGAACCGTCACTTGTCCTCAGCAGCAACTCAGTCACCTGACCCCGGCCCGGTACCGACCATCGGACCCGGCCAGGTACGGTCCGAGGGCCCGGGCCGGCGGCGGCGGCGCGGCCGGGCGGCCCGGAAAAAAGCCCACCTCACTGAATTGCTAGACAGTGTTCAAGCAGGTTCAAGGCAGGACTGCCGTACTAGGCTTGGATGCTCGCGCTATGCGGTTGAGAGCTTGAGACAGAGCAGGGAAGCGATGGTTGCGTGAGGACTGGAGATGTCTTGCTCGATATCGGCTCATCGCATAACATCACTACCTGCTCTCTTCTTTCTTGCGTTCACTCCTATTGCAAGCCCTCTAGGTCACCCCCACCATGCCAGGAAAGATGTGGTAGGGACTCTCTTGTTGCGGGGGGGTGATGCGAGGGAGTCCGCATTAGAGGCGTCAGCACGGCACAGATTAGCTTCCTCGTTGCCGCAGAAGAACAAGTTCCGCTTCTTCTGCGGCACTTGGAACGTAAACGGAAAGTCTCCTGCTGTTCCGGTTGCCTTCAATCAAGACCGGGTGGGACTGGTGACAACCTGAATGCAGGTAGAAGAGTGGTTGTGGCCACTTACGGAAGGAGAGGACATTGACGTATACGTACTCGGGTGATATGCGCTCTCGTTTTTTTGCTCTCCTTTGATCTCATATCTATGTAGATTGCAAGAAGTGCAGGATCTAAGTGGTGCCAGCGCTCTCCTCACAGACGAGGAGAAAGGCCGACAATGGTCAAAAGTGATTCAATGCGCTGTGAGCAGAACTTCTTTTCCTACACGTGGTCTTGTAGTTGCTGATCCTACGAACATTCAGCTTGGTTGTCCTAAACGCTTCCGATGCGTGGCGGTTCGCCAGATGGTTGGCATGTGAGTGTCGTCAAGTGTAGGATTATCTCTCGAGTGAAAGACAACTGTCTATGTCAGATATATCACAGTACTTGTGCGGTCCGAGTTGGCATCAAGCGTGATTTCACAACTCTTCTACTTTGCGAAATCTAATGTCGTATTACAGATATCAGAGATCAGAGTGGCTGAGCTAGGGACTGGTTTCTTGAACCAAGGAGGAAACAAAGGAGGAGTACGATATCCCATGCACCCACAAGTTAAGCATCTTACTTCAAGTTGCAGGTGGGAGTGAGATTCAAACTTGAGGACATCCGAATTTGCTGTGTCTGCAGTCATTTGGCTGCTCAAGTGTCCGAGGTGAAACGGAGGAATCAAGATTATCGTGAGCTTGTGAGGATATTTATTCAATGCCATGGTTCCAAGTCACGTCAACTTTTTAGATTAATCGACTGAATTTTGAAGAAGAAATTTTGCCGATCAAGAATCAGGACCTTTTTGACTCCGACTTGGTGTCCAACCCACAAGAAATCGCAAACATATTGTTTTCCGACGAAGTTGCATGTGCTGAACACACGTATGAATCTAAACATGTCAGAGAGGGAGATTCTACTACCTCGAATTTGCAGCATCCAATCAGCCCTTTCAAAAGAGTATGCCTTCTCTCACCCATTGAGGAAATTCTGACAGAGACTGCAAGGTACAAAGCGAATCAAACCTCGGAGTTGCACCTAGAATTTTCAGGTCTGCCAGTGGAATGCTCGATCGATCTGGAAGCAAAATGTTTGACAAGATCTCCAAATTTTGGGGGGTGACTCTTATTAGTTCTGAGTTCATGAATGATATTTGCCTTACAAACCAAGACTGAAAAGGAAGGCGCTGCTGAAGAATCGCCAACCGCCCTTCGAATCAACGACCATGTTGATTTTGTATTCCTCTTGATGTGAAATGTAATTTGCGTGGATTTTTAGGACGTTGTGATATGGATTGGAGATCTCAATTATCGAATCAACCTACCGGACAATGCGGTAATGAAAGAGCCTGCATGGGCGTTTCTGATCTTTCCTTCCAGGTCCTCTCCCTAATACAAAACATGAATTTTTCGCTGTTGTCCTCGTTTGACCAACTTTGTATGTGGATGGAAAGCGATGAAGTATTCAATGGTGAACAATATTCACTCTTTATGCAGCGATGTCAAATCCTGATTTATTGCGAAGGTTTCTGTGAACCCCCATTGAATTTTGTTCCAACATACAAATTGGAAACTTGGGACAATCGCTTTGCCACGAAAGAAGATGGGAGACTAAAGCGCACACCTGCATGGTGTGACAGGATTCTGTATAGGACCAACGATCAAGTTCAGCTTTCTTCAAGCACTTATCGTCGACACGAACTTTTGGGTTCTGACCACCGCCCCGTGTCAGCAACTTTAACATTGACCAAAACCGCACCCGTTCCTGCTTCTCTGAGCATGCCGAATGAGATTGTAGCTTCATCGATTGTTGAAGAAACGAAAACTCAAGGCCTTCCCGTCATTTATTTCTATGATACCAAAGATTGTTTCATCTTTTCACGTCAACAATTTGATGCATCCGTGACTTGCGTTCAGAGTGAAACTGAAGATATCTCGTCGAATGTTCTTGTTGTATGGAAACAGACCAAAGTTGCTGAGTGGTTGCCTGCACCTGAGGTTGGGAAAGTGCAGCAACTCCAAGATGTCGTCACAAAGAGAATTTTCGGTGTTCTTGGGATGGTCGATTTGTCTCACGCGACTTATCTCATCATCATTTCAAACTATACGTGTACTGGACAGCTTCCTCAGGGTCAGATTTTTACTGTGACAGGCATCGAAATACTACCTGTGTCTTCCGGTCCTCCGATCCCAGAAGACGAAGACGAAATGCGTAATGTCGATGACAGAGAATACTCGACGCTCCGAGAGCTGTTCAGTAGCTACCAATTATTCTTTTCACCAGATTTCGACGTCGCAAAATCTCAACAAAGGCTTTCCTTTAATTGCTCGCAGAACATATCTGACGGCTTTGTATGGAATTTCAAAATTCTCAGTAATTTGAACAAAGGAGACCCACCCAAAAGGTTCAAGTCAGGCTCCATTCTTGTGCCGGTTGTATGCGGATTTTGTAAAATTGTCACAACAAAAGTCAAAAGTCAATCTTGCACCCTCGCCTTAATATCAAGAAGATGTCGGTTCAGATCAGGAGTACGTTTTTTCAGTCGAGGTGTTGACGAGAATGGTTATGTCTCGAACTTTGTTGTGAGTGAGCAGATTCTGGTATCCCAAGGCTTCACAAGTAGCTACGAGCTGATCCGAGGTTCGATTCCTTTGTATTGGCAGGAAAGAGAGGCACTTGTTACACTCAAACCAACTCCAACGCTGATCCAAGGACCTCATGACGTTGCTATGAAGAAGCACTTTGCTTTCTTGAATGCAAATTATGGTGACATTGGAGTTCTGAATTTGATAGATCATCACGGCGTTGAAGGAGAGATCTGCAAAGCCTACGGTAAATACATGATGAAGGAGATGGAAGAAAATTTGAAGGTTGTCATTTACGAGCCATTTGACTTCCATAAGCATTGTGGCAAATCAGCCACAGGAGAATCGCGTGAACAGATCACAAAACTTCTGAAGAAGATCGATTCCTTGTGTCATAACAACGTGCACCTTGTTCAACATGAAGAAAGTCAGACAGCTCAAGTCAGAATGCAGCAGAACTCTTTTTTTCGCGTAAATTGCATTGATTGCCTGGACAGAACAAACGTCCTACAAGCTGCCATTGGAAAGAAGGTTCTGTTAGAACAATTGCAACGACATGGTTTGCTGGGGGAGCGAGACATCGATGCTTGTCGTTATGCTTCTCAGCATGGATATGATCTCCCCTTTCCCAAGCTGGAGTCATCCTTTAGAGAGATCTGGGCTGATATGGGCGATGCAATCTCACATCAATATGCTGGAACGGGGGTGACTTTGTTCCTCTTCTCCCATTTCGACTCACAACCACACAGGCACTGAAAGGAGATTTTACTCGATCCGGCAAGCGAACCATGACCGGAATTCTAGCAGATGGGTTTGCTAATGTCAAGCGAGCGGTTCAAAACAATTTTGCTGATGTCTACAAGCAACGGGTGATAGATTATCTGCAAGGCAATCGTCCCAATTTCCAGTATAAGATATGTATAGAATTGAAGTCTTGTGATAATTCTACAGGAAAAATTTTGCGGAAATGTCGGCTCAGGAGTTGTCGGTATTGATGACTTGCGATAGATTGGAACGAACAGTAAGAAACTCAAGCAGGTCCGTAAGCCGTCTAGCGAATGCTCCACAAGCTTGGAGAAAGACGGGGGATCTGATTGCCCTAATTACGACGAACCCCCAGGTGGAATGCTCTTCTCTTTCCTTTCCTATCTAATTCTTTGTTGTGCCTCTATCTTGTTAATGCAGCGTACGTAGACGAATACATTCGAAGCCATGACGATGAAGATTTCATCTCTGGCAGCGATGAGCACGAGGGTAGTTGAGGCAGTCTGTCGAAACCGGTTTCACGGCTCCAGTGAGCTGCTTAGTTTAGGATGTTTCTGATGAGGCCTTCTGGGTTAACAAGTTCAACGGTTAGTGATAATCGATTGCCGTCAAGTTCAAGTCACAACACCCAGCGGCCGTTGATGACAAGTTGGTGTCAAGTTGGATCATCATCGGTGATCGCCGGGAACCGCGTGCCACAATGCTGCCACCGTCATCGGGCCCGATATCACTGAGTGCCGGCGCCGGGCCGCCGTATTACCGTAGTAACTGTGGCCGCCGAGTCAAGCGCCGCCGATGATGATGACTGTCCGATCACTGTCCCTGAAGACTCAGTGAGACGCTCGGAGCCTGCCATGCCATCATCGGATGGGCTGCGATCGAGCCTCGGGCTCAGTACAGTGTCCGGGCCTCGGCCGGCGGAGTCGGGCCGCGCAGAGGCGGGCACGGAGACGAGAGCGGTGAGACCAAAAGGACCGGTAGGGTCATTTGCGTATAATGAAACGGGGGGTAGTAGCGACGAAGAGTCGATCGAGACCCGATTTAGAGGGAGATGTCGGGCGAGCTTGTGGCAGCCAAGCAAAGGACGGTAAGCAGATGGCGAGGCGAGGATGAACGAAAGATGATGAGACAGAGGCTTTCATGCAAACTGATCACGAGAGAGAAATCAAATAACGTAGCTGACGAGCAGAAGGGTAGAACGAGGGCTTAGTTTTATCTCTTGAGTTTCAAAAAGGCGACTTAATACCTACATTCGCAGGAGAACCGGGAAGTCAAGAGGCGTCGCGTCATAGCAGCCTCTTCCATGGTATGAGAACTCTGAACAATTATATGAGAGTCTGCCCGAAACATGAAAGTGCAATCGAATGTGGAAAAGCAGCAAGGAGGGACTGAAGGATTTGTAGCTCCGCTGTTGAATTTTTGTTTCAGGTGTTGTCGCTGCTTGGCATTGTTGCCATTCGACACTCCAGTGATGTGGTAAAATAACTTGGCTCGGCGTTGATGGTTTCGTGTGATTTCAAAACCGACAGGATCCATCGCAACACACGTCGCAAGTGGAGTCCAATGCCATGTTCCGCAACGACGTCGAGTATCAAGACTATCCCGCATGGACCAAGAGTGTCAACGATGTGAACGCTCAGGTGAGTTTTTCTCTCGGCCATGCCATGGGTTCACAGGAACCTTTGATTGTTATTTCTCACAGAATCACATCAACCATGGGAAATGGACCAGTATAGAAGGCCCCCCTTTTCTGCAGAGAATCACTCTGTACTCAGGTGAGAGCTGCAATAACCAAGATGTGTGTCTTTGATGAGGCTATAACTTTTCCAGGGAATGGTGTTGACATTACACACGGAGGAAACATCGTTAGGAAAGTTGTCGGTATCCCAAAAAACTTTGGCAAGGTACAGCTGCTGAGTATCAAACTGGAATCTGAAGTCTTTCAGTGGGAAGGCAACAGGTTCCTTGCCAACTTTGAATCACAGCAGATGCGTTTCTTTCAAAGCAACAAGAACTCGGTTCATTTCTTTCGTTCGATACTCCTGCAGACAAAGTTCTTGACTCTCGTCACAGGCACTCGTTATCCCTCCCCTCTCGCAAGGCAACTTGCCCATTCTGAGCGACTATGCCAAGGCACCCGCAGATTCTCTTTTCTTGGATTCTGAAGCGTGCACAGGGTATGCTCAAGCATTATGTTGCATTGGGTCATAACACCCTTATCGTCTGTGGCGGTTTCTAGCAGTTCATAGGGCGACGTCTACTTTGACAAGTTCTGACAGGGCCTGCTTCGGTCGAGTTCATCAATCAGAATCTTTACACCTCAAGTGAAGGTAGGGCAAATCTTCGTCCCAACATGATATTTAAGATAAGCTCAGGAACCTTGCTGTTCCAGCCTGCATGGACTCGAGGACCCTACGAGAAGCAAGAGGTGAAGTGACGAGTCGATATCAGCTGACAGCTGTAAAGATGCGAGCCAGGTGTGTGACGGGACGCCCTTCCAAAGCCTTCCAGTGACTCTACCGACCATGAAAGGTCATGTCCACGGAGTTCGTACGGTGGGCTTCATTGTCTACTGCTGGTTTGTGAAACCTTTCGATGCAGCAATCGCTTCCCCAGGACGCCACGAGCTACTATGAGACAGGCGAAGTAATCGACTCATCGGATCTGCCTCGTTTCGCTCTGATGCTGAGTAGGGTTCTCCTGGTGGCGGTGTGAGTGTGATCTTCAGCCTCAAGATGGCGGAGGGGCAGGTGAGTTGGTTCACCTTCATTCCAACTGTCTTGACATTACTTGAAGCTCATCTACGTCGGCTTTGATTACTCGACTGCATCGGAACCTTGGATCCGCGCACTTGCAGCTGCCTTGGAATTCGCGTCGTGAGTTTCAGACAAGGGTGGTGAAGCCAAGACGAAGGTGAAAGAGAAAGCGATAGGTGAGATCAGGCTCGACATGTACTTATAGAAACTTAATGAATTATTATCTTGGTCCTTCTACACTCGTTCTCTCTCCCTATAAGATGGCTGAGCTTGCGAAGCTCTTCAATAATCGAGTCAGGAATTTCAAGGACGCAAGCCACTCTACCTGAACCACATCCTGCGAAGGAACTGAACTGGTCATCAACCTTCGCAGCAGCTCAGCTGTTTCCTCCTGCACCAAGGGTAACGTCATAACATGTCAGGCAGTCCAATCGACTGAACCTGAAAGTTGGCCGTCGCATGGGTCAGGGGTGTCAAGCCGTTCCTGCGCAGGCCAGACATGAAGTCATTACCCTCATCACCCTCATCACCCTCGTCAGAGAGTCAGACTCCTCACTTGGTGGTCCTGAACAGATCGGCTCCACGCTCAACGAGGAGAGCGGCAACTTCTGTCTGCCCCTCACTGCAGCAACGTCAACCCCATTAGTCAGCATGCCCCCTGATCCTCTCACCTTGCCGCATAGTGAAGTGGTGAACATCTCGCCTCTGTCAATGGGTCGAGATCTGCTCCCTCGCCGCATCTAAGCAATCATGTCAGCAGGGGTTGACGAGATAGAGCATCACAAGAGTTTGACAGCTTCTCGTTGCCCAGTCATGGCAGCGTAATGCAGAGGCGTTAAGCAAGCGTCGTCCCGGATGTTGAAGTCTGCTCCTGCAACGGTGTTACCCTTCCAACAGGTCTCACGGGCCCGGGCTCACACCATGTTTCAACAGCGCCTCCATCAGCCTGCAGTTGCCCCACCTGGCAACGACTAAGTGGGCTCAAACTCGAGGCTCCCGAGAATGAACAAACCAAGCTGCGAGATGAAACAAAGTCAATCCCGCAATGTCATGTGGGCATTTTTCATCGATTCGCACTGATCATTGAAATGAGCATCAGGGTCAGGTCATCAGCAAGGACTTACCTTTCCCTTCCCGTAATGCAGTGACGATGAAGTCAAGATCGCCTTTCTCGCAAGCATCCCAAACTTGTCAGCTTGTCAGTCCCTTCACGTTACACTGGAAGCAAACCGCTGCCGTTGGGGTAAATTCCTGATCTTGAACTTTGGAGGGTAGGGCAATCAAAATCTGTCTCAAACTCCTTGTAATCTTCCACTGCACGCCGAAACGATCAGGACGGACAATTTCAAGCACACTTACTCACAAACTTCGTCGACGAGCTCAGGATAGAATTGCCTGCCCCATTCTCCAATTATGGCTCTAAGAAAGTCATCCTTCGACTCGCCATCATTGCTTCCTTTTCAATACGTGTCAGTTATCAATAAAAATGATATCAGAACGAGGGCGGAAGGAGCGGAGACATACCTTGAGATGTTGTATTGTTCATGCTGACACGCTTGAGAAAACTATCACAAGTCTCACTTGTCACATCGTACACGAAATTTCACGAACCTTTCCATCTGTAGGCTGATGTTGGCATACCGGGGAGCTTCATCTGCATCTCTCGAGGAATCACTGCTGCTTTCAATTTTCGATTTCTTGGCAGGCTTGACTTCATGAATGTGATCGGAAACGACTGAGGAGCGCGTGACCCTCTTCGCACTTCCACCTGCGGTCATGCATCATCCGCATGTTGTGTCTCAAGACATACTGACCCATATCCTGAAGTCCTTCATCTGCTCCACCATCCATCCTCAGGCAGAAATTCGTCCTGCCCGGAGAAGCTTCCACTGGCACATCATCCTTGCGGTATCGTGGATGAGCAATTAAGCAAGAAGAACAGGAAAGACTCAATTTCTCACCCAACATCTTCCTCCACGTAATCTCTCGTTGGGATAGAATGAATTTTGGTTGCTTTCCCTCAACGCCTGCCAGAAAAGAGCTCCTCTTGATTTCTCTTCAACTGAGAGATTGAGGTAAGGGCTGATCTCTAAGTAAAACCTCTCCAGCGTCTGAGCACTCTGAGTGTGCAGACCTATTAGAGATCACGATTACTCTTATCACGGCTAGTATCGACGTGACCTTGCTCCTTTATGTGATGAAGAAACTCATCCATGGTTTCCTTGAGCTCCAATTGTTGCTTCTTATGCTATCATGAAGTAAGTTGTCCTGGGACAGCAGCAGATATGGTGTGCAGACCTCGCGTACTTGTTGTACAAGGATGCTTACATTCCTAGCTAGAATCTCCTTTTCCCGTGCCTGCAGATTTAATTTCAGAAGCCAATCGTTGCTAAGGTCGTCGGGCATGCCTGCTGAAGCAAAACATGCTCCAAGAGCTCCAGTTTCTGCCTGAACACGACAAACTGTCAATTCAATGAAGACGAATTTTCGTCAAGACTGAAAACTGACCAAACATTCGAAATCTTTCCTGATCGAAGCAATTGGTAAGATTCATCTAGTCCGATGTTTCTCTCAAATTTCATTTCTGGTGGGCGGAGATTTTGAGTGAGCTCCTCGATTTGTTGCTTCTTGTACACTTCAAAGTGAAAAAAAGTGGAGATCAAATTTTCGAAAATGGTGTACAAGCTATATCACTTATTCTTTGAAGATCTCTCTGAAATCCTTCCAAGCTGCAGTGTTCAAGTCAGATGCTGGAGACAGCGTCAAGAGTGACCTGTCAAAATAGAGTCGGGTAATGTTGTCTTCAGGCTTCAGTCCGAATGACTGACGCATTCGTTGTTCTTCAATCTCAAGCTCCTACAGTTCGAGAAACGAATGAGCTTGATTGAAACAGGTACATCGTTTGTGAACCTCTATATCCTCATCCAACGAGTCTGAAGGATTCAACTGTAACCCCAAAGTTTCTTCGTTTGCTCGGGTAATGGAGTTCAAAATATTCCCTTGATCCTTTTGAGCCATCAGCTCTCCCAAGACTGAATCACTGACACCGCTGACGTCTGTGCTTTCTTCAGAAGAAATTTCGTACTTCTGTGACTTAAGTGGAGGCGAAAGCGATACTTTTTCAGATACCATGTCGATATCATCTCTTGTCTTCAAATCCCCGTCTGCACCAACCTGATAGTTTGAGAGCTGTGAAATCGTGCTTTCGAGGTCCTGCAAAAGCTTTTCGTTGATCTTTTCTCTGGGACTCGTATCAAACGTGTCGCTGTGTTTGACGATTCCATCGAGTGCGTCGGAATAGTTCGAACTTCATGAAATCATTGTAAGTGTACATCGATAGAAGCCACGATGGCAACATACATGTTGAAAATGTTAAGGATGTCTTGGTCTTTGATGACCTCTTTCCAGTCGGCGAAGCCTCCTCCTCTCAAACCACTTATTTGAGTGATTCCCTGCTCAGCTTGCTTTCTTTTCCTATCCTTGATTTCTCGAATCTTTCTCTTGCCCATGCCTCCCCCGAATGCGATCTTCATCAATCTCTTTTGTTTCTGAAAAAGTTCCATCAATGACTCCACGATTCAAAGAAGACTTCACCTCTTCATAGTGCATGGCTGATAGTCGACCACGTCTCGCCTTTCAGAACTTTACACCTCTTGTTTACATCGTTTATGCCGTTGTTACCGATGTCATTCGCCGTTCGCTCTCCTCCTCCAGTCGTCTGTCTTCCTCAGGCAAATCGTTTCTGCCCTCAATCACCCAATCTGGTAAGGCCTGCGAAGATAAGTGAGTGAATGACGGTCGCGGCCGAAGATTGCCTTCTTTCGGAATTGTTCAAGCATTTGCGAATACTTGGCTTTGACCTAAGTTTTAAGATTTCGTCACATCACTCTCATACTATTGGAATTCATCAAGACCTGCCAGGGAGTCCCAATCAAATGATCAGGTAAGACCGCATCAGCAGAGTATCGAATCTGAAGATCCCTTCCCGCAAGAACCTGGAAAGAATGTAAAAACATCGACTGCTATAGCAAGGGACCTGTCCGTCCATGAGATGCAGAGCCTTTTCACATGATGGCCAATCCGAAAATTGAACGAAAGCTACACCCTGGTGCGAATCTCAAAGACATTGAGGATGACGACAAGCAACTTGTATAATTAGGCAAACTTACCTTCGACTGCTGCGTCAATTGATCGCGCGGAATCTTCACATCCATGACAAATCCAAAAGATCGAAAGGCCCACCACAGATCCCACTCTGTGACCTGGCAGTTTGATGCTGACTCAGTGGAGCATGGCTCATGGTCTTACATCGAAAACCTCTGGAGCAACATTTCGGACAAATAGCTTTGCCCGCTTAGCGTATCTTGCGTTCTCAGACCTCACCTTTGAGGTCGTATCAAAAAAGTGCACGGGAAATCATCCTGTGCAGGTAAACCGTGTGGACGATCCTCATCGGTCTTCCTTCGATCCGCTGGAAATTCATCAACCTGTAGGCTTGCGCAGCAGATTCTTCGTCCACAAACTCAACAAATACGTATCTACAAAGTTGTGTCATGGCTTTTCATCGTCATTCGATGATGCGCAATACCCGAGATGTTCGTTAGTATCGTAGTCCCGAGGCATGTTCAGCATCATGAAGTTGTCGAAGTCTATGAAAATCTCGTATAAAGTCTCTTCAGTTACCTGCAAAATTTCACTCAGGTTCTTCTACTCATCTCAGTGCTATCAAACCATTTCTTCAATGTTGGAGATGTATAGAGTGTGGTCAGGGATCATGTCTCGCCTCCGTCGCGATGACTGTCCTTGTCTGGAGTTGCTCGATGGGGAATGGGCTTCCTGCATATAAGATGGGTTGACCAGACTGTAACCACCTCTGAGATTTGGTCTTTGAATTTTGCGAAAGAGCATGGCTACTTGATATGAAAAGACATGAGGAAATCATTGGCGTGTGAATAGGATTACCTTGTTTCATTTGTTTGCATTCTGTCTGGACAGAAACCTCCAAGAATAATTCCTTGCCAGTGGTACCAGAATTAAGTCCGGTGATAATCACAAAGAAGAAGATATGGATATGCTGCACCAGCATTATCAAGGGTAGTTTCCTTCACAGAATCACGCTCATTCTTCATTCGCACTTTATCACGCAGTTCAAACTTAGCAGCAAGTTCGGTGGCGTATCCTGCGGCATGTGCTGCCATGCAGGTCGCATTCTTGTGTGAGGAAGGTAGTGGGCCCGCACCAGGAATTGCAACTCGTACCCGTGCAATCCCGGGCTCAACGGCACGCCTACCGTACTAGGGCTAGTGTATCTACCGTACAGTACCTCACGGTTCAAGTTCCGAAGTTCGGGCGATAAGCCTAGCGGCCAGGTACTGCTGCTGAGTAACAGTCGGACTGGCCGGGGTCTGTCGTGCTCGGGGGCCACCCACCGCCGCTACGACGTTGGCCGCGGCCCGGGCCCCGTTGCCAGGCTGGGCCGGGCCCGTCCTGCCAGGCTGGCACTGTCATCGGATCGTCACCCGTCAAAACTTCGTTCTTGTCCCCTATTGTGAATTTTACACAAGTTTTTCAAGTTTCACATCTTCTTTTCCATTTGTTGTTATCATTCCTTTCGACTTAATGTTTGAAGAACTAATGACCTTACCGTGCGGAGCCGCTACTAAAATCTATGCATTCAGCTTTGTCAAAGGCTGGACCTGGGAACGAACGTGTCATGAAAAAAGAGGAGAAGAAAACTTATCAATGCATACCTTCAAGGTTGCAGCATTGGCGTCTAATACTTTCACCTTGACATAATCTCCTGGAGCAAGAGAAAGATTCAACTCTGCCAACGAAATTTGTAAACTCAAGCTTGAACAGCAACGCATCACCATCACTCTTGACATCCCATACGCATAACTTATTCGTACATGTCCTGCCAACCAGCTGTGGCATCTCGGGCGAGGATCGCCTTTGTGAGCAAAACTTTCTTCAGCCCACCCGACGCTGAGACTCGCAATCAAACTCACTTGCTGGGTCCATCTATCAAGACAACGTGCTCTTTTCCCAGCTAATCGTCGTGGAAAAATCAAAATCAATCCAGAGACTGGAAGTGTGTACCTCATTCAAACAACTCTCAGCTGCATTCTTTCTGAAGGTATCTATGATCTCCTAGAATAACGCAGGTTAAAGTAAAGCATGGCTTGAGGATGTATCGGACCTGCAAACGACGAGATTTGATTTCTTGGGGAACATCGTCAGGCATGTTGTGCTTTGCATGGGTGTGCGATCTTTCTGAGTATGCATACATAAAAGCCTAGGGGAAGCAGCTTAACCAGAAAACATTGGTAATACAGAAGACGGTCAGAAGGAAGAATACCTGATAAAATTTCACTTCCTCTAACAAAGAGAGTGTTTCCTGAGATGAAAATTCAATGAAAACACTAGCGATCTCACCCCCAAAGGATACCTGATGCTCTTCTTCTGTCTCTCCGCAGAAACCGGTGATGATATCGGTAGAAATACTGAGACCAGGGATGGTTTTCTGTGCTTCTTCTATCAACTGCATGTACGCCTGGCGAATCATAAGGCAAATGTAGTTAAACTTGTCTGTTACTTCTCGGGTGTATCCACGTCGCATTCGAGCAAGTACACTGGTACTTCCACTCTGACAAGACGCAATAAATCATTAGCGACTCATTGTACAAGCTCCCCGCAGTGCATATCCTTTACACACCTGCGCTGGCATATGTAATGATTTACACAAATTTGGTCGCTCGGCGATTAACTGCAACAGCTGAGGAGGAAAGTCCTGCGGTTGTTTGAATGATATTTTTAGCATATGAATGAAACCTTTGGGTGCGGTGATGTGAAACGAATCCTGATTCTGCTATCAACAGCTGAAACCTTGAATTCAAGATCTTTCAACGATCTAGAACGAAAAGGTGGTGGGAAAAGATGGACCTGATCTAGCAGATCAATAAAGCGTGCCCCACTCCCGTGACGACTTTTGTAGATGTTATTGAAACCAGGATACGACACGTAACCTGCCCGAATTCTCTTAGGACACAAAACTGTCGAAGCTGAAGTTTACACAGTATTGTTCTTACATACCTGATCCTTCGGAAAAGGTCTGGTCCCAATAAGAATTCACATTCTGTCCCAGCAAGGTGATTTCTCGGTAACCCTTGGCACTTAAATCCTTCACTTCATTCACAATCGATTCGAGAGTGCGGCTTCTTTCTCGACCTCTTGTGAAAGGTACAACACAGTAGCTGCACATATTATTGCAACCACGCATGATTGATATGTATGCAGAAATTCCATTGCCATCATACCGCACCGGAGCGACATCAGCATATGTTTCATCCAACGAAAGCTGAACATTCATGGCTTTTTGCCCACTTTCCACAGTGTTCAGCAGATTTGGAATGTCCCTGTAAGCATCTGGGCCAGCAACAAAGTCGACCAAGCGATCAGTCTCTAACAACTTCTTCTTTAACCGCTCAGCCATACAACCAAGGACACCAACTGAAGCTCGTTGCCGCCAACGTCGGTCTGGGTGATGGTCCAGCATGCTCTTGATCTTTTTCAATCTCTCCCAGACTTTTTGTTCTGCATTCTCTCGCACTGCGCAAGTATTGAACATGAGCACGTTGGCGTTCTCAGGCTGCTCTACCCTATGATAGCCTGAGCTTTGCATGATGGAAGCTACAATCTCAGAGTCAGATGAATTCATTTGGCATCCATATGTCTCTATGAAGTAGGACTTGCCACTCTGATGTATTTGTTCGTTAACTTCGTTTCCAACTCTTTGTCTTTGCTGCAGAATAAATTCTCCGAAACTTGGAATTCCATCTGGCAGTTTTCTCCGTTCATGTTTGTCCACATTGGAGGTCGCCTTTGTGCTCTCGGTTCTCACGAAGGGTTTGTTCCAGCGAACTCCACGCGAAAAAACCGCAACATTCACTCTGAAACATATGTTTAGCAACGTGCATCTCCATCTCCATCTCCATCTCCATCACCATCACCATCTCCATCTCCATCTCCATCTCCATCTCCATCTCCATCTCCATCTCCATCTCCATCTCCATCTCCATCTCCATCTCCATCATCTTCTCCTCCACCACCAACTTCTTCCTCATCATTGTTCTTTTCTGGCTCGCTCTCCTCGTGCATGTCCCCTCCCTCCAACGACTTCTCCCATCCCTACACCATTACCTCATTGCGCGCATGCCGATGGGTGTCGCACGCCCTTCGGAGTCACTGTAGTCTACCGAGCCAGTGGCGGCCGGGCCGCTACCGTACGGCCCGTCCGATCCGATGATCCGGGGCCGCCGGGCCGGGGCCCGGGGGGTCAGAGCCACGGTGCCACGCCGTGGCACGTCGGAGGCTGGCAGTGGTCGGGCTCGGACCGTCCGAGGCTCATGGGGGCCCTAGACAGTGACGGCCAACTGAGATTAGTGAAGTCAACTGAGATTATTCAGTCTGTAAACCCGGGCCCCCTCGGGGGCCCGGGGCGGGTGATCGGACCGTACGGTGCCACTGCCCAGGTGCCAGTGACACCGGCAGCCGCCTGACTCTGTGAGACAGTCCCGGATTTGCACAGCGGCGCGACGTCTATGACTGTGACATTGTGCCAACATTTCCGAAGTTCTCCCCGGGCCCTCTCCCTCCCTCCCTCCCTCCCTCGCATACTAAGTTCCTCCTCGTCCCTCGATCCGGGCCTCCTCCTTTCCTTTCTCTCTTTTTCTCTTGCGCGTATTTCTGCTACTGATCCCTGGTCATGTCGTCGCTTCTTCCCTTCGCTTCCTCGCTTTCCCTCTTGCTCTCGATCTCCCTCTAATCGTACTCTGTCCCCTTTCTCTTTTCTTCATTTTTCTTTCTGTCTTTCACACTCTCGCTTCTGTTTCCTCCTCTGTCTTCCTCCCTCCCACCCTCTCGGCCGGGCCCCTGTCCCCCCTCCCCTCTCTCTCTTCTCCCTCTCTCGAAAAAAATACCATATCGCCCCCTCTTGACTCCTTCTCTCTCTCTTTATCTCTCCCTATCTTCCACCCTCCCTGCCCTCCCTTGTGACACAATGACTCAATGACTCAATGACTCAATGACTCT